CTTCCTGTAGTCAGCCGCTGGTCAGTTTCAGCAGCGGCTGAATCTGGACGCCAGTTCTGACTTACATACAGATTCAACTTAAGAACAAACCTACAGTCCCTATCTTGTACGTAACCCGGGGACTGCCTGTATTATTTACAGCCTCAACTAGTACATTGTGCTTGTCATGGTACATGAAAAAGTGCATGGTGACTATGGTTAAAAATCCCTTCAGCCGCTGGTCAGTTTCAGCAGCGGCTGAATCTGGACGCCAGTTCTGACTTACATACAGATTCAACTTAAGAACAAACCTACAGTCCCTATCTTGTACGTAACCCGGGGACTGCCTGTATTATTTACAGCCTCAACTAGTACATTGTGCTTGTCATGGTACATGAAAAAGTGCATGGTGACTATGGTTAAAAATCCCTTATAAAGGCAGAAAAGCTAAACTGGCTAGACTGGTTTAACTATCCAACCTGAATATTTTTTGCCATTCTGACAGAATAAATGATGAAAAGTAAACTAGAATTTGAGATCTGTTTCTTTATTAGTCAGGGCCGATTAGTAACACAGATAAGGCTCCTATCATAATGACTGCAGTGTACACGCCTAAAGAGTGATGTTAATATCTTACATGTAGAGAAAACGACATCTGACCCAATGCAGTGTTCAGATGCTTCATGGTTTTCTGACGAGTCCTAAAACAATTTGGATTGTCCTTTTGTGCAGCTTTCAGACTTGAGATAGAATCGGCATTCTCCATGTGCTTGCTATTTATTGTTTGGGTGAGATGGACTCTTATCTCAATTTTTCACACAAGTGTTACTTTTGGCCCACTTTTACTGTTAACACTTACATTGTGACAGTTGTTCTGGTAGCACTTTATAGACTAACAAAACATGTAGATGGTGTCATGAGCTTTCGTGGGCACAGCCCACTTCTTCAAATGATCTCTGGTCATCTGAAGAAGTGGGCTGTGCCTACGAAAGCTCATGACACCATCTACATGTTTTGTTAGTCTATAAAGTGCTACCAGACCATTTGTTGTTTTTTAAGTTTATTCTGTACAGACTAACTTGGCTATCCCCTGAAGCTTCCGAACATTGTGACAGTTGAACAATGTCAAAATTACTGCTATTATCCTCCAGGTCTGATGTATACTCTCATCAGTATACTGTAGGCAAAGTTCCGTCATAAATCTAACTTAGTGAGCTAACTCCTTTTTTAAATAGATGTTACTGGATAAGTTAAACAAAATCTTGTAGCGTGATAAGGGAACTGTCTGTTTGTTCAAACTCCAAAACAAGCAGGGGATGTAGAAAAGCAATTCCATCCATCTAATGTTTTCAGAGGAAATCTAAAGACTTAATTCCATTTGATTTGCCGTAAATGGGTTTCCATGTCACAAAGACTATTGTACAGACATACGCACTATAATAATGGTGTGCTGTGATGATCAACGTGAAAGGTCTGTTAGGCTTGTTATACAGTATGAGTTTTTGTTTTAGGGAAGGCAGTTATAATTTATTGTTGCTGAATTATGGTACACAAAGTCTAGCCCAGAAATTGTGCACTCATATACATAAAAGGATAGCAGTTTGGTGGTGCAGTTAAACATTCTGGAATCTTCTTTATTCCTTTAACCTCAAATATACTACTTTAACCCAAATTATGTGGGGAGGTATCCTTTGATTGTGCAGATATGACTGTTACATTGAACTAACTAGCATGCAATACTTTATCTAGGGGCTGAAACGGTTTTTATGATTCTATTGCATGTTGTAAATCTATAAAATCTATAATCTCTTTAGGCAGGCTTCCAACAACTCCTATTTTATCTGAACAGTCTGCAAGTTTACTGTAGCTGCCTCAACAGGCTTTATAGCTCAATCGTATAATGTAACCGCCGGGTTGCATAAGCATAAAGGAAATGATCTTTTCATTATAAAAAGATTATTCTTTTCAAAATCTATTCTGAAAATAGGCACTCATGTTCAATTTTTAACACTTGCATGGTACTCAGTGTCTTTAGATGTCTTTGTATTTCCATGACATCTTTTCCCCAAAGATCTGAATGCACGTTACTGCTATTTATTAAAACTCGACAACCCTTTGAGAATAGCATGATCCAATGGTTTGGAAGATGAAGCTAGACAAATTCAGACTAGAAATGTCCAAGCATGTGGACAAGGGAGATCCAGTGTATATGGTGTACTTAGATTTCCAAAAAGCCTTTGACAAGGTCCTTCACCAAAGGCTTTTAAGCAAAGTTAGCTGTCATGGGATAAGAGGGAGCGTCCTCTCATGGATTAATAACTGGTTAAAAGATAAGAAACAAAGAGTAGGAATAAATAAACTGTTTTCCGAATGGAGAGCGGTAAATAGAAATGTCCCCCAGGGATCTGTAGTGAGACCAATCCTATTCAATCTGTATCTAAATTTTAGAGAATTGTGTGACTGAGTCCCTCTGTCTGTCTGCAAATCTGTTTGTTCAAGAACTTCTACTAAATGGTAAGAGCTAAGAACACCATTTGGTATGCAGCTTACTCTTATCCTAACTTAAAGTAAGGTCAGGGTTTGGTTATGCCAGGAAAATGGGATATGCCTGGAACGTTATTGTTTTCCATAACATGGAAAGGGAGAGGGCAGAGCTATATTCATAGTCACCACTGCAGGCAACGATTGCAGGGGACAGCTATACTTGCACAGTGACCGCTGGGGACAGCCACATCATCAAGAGAGTGGCCCTCTTGCCACATGACCCTACCCATCAGCTCCAGCACTGAACCAGAGGGGGGAAGCCCCTTGAGCCCCACTGCTGCAGCCCTTTTCAGAAGCCACAGCCAGCTAGCCTGCACAGCCTCCCCTTTCTGCCCCTGGAGTGGACTCCCCAGTTGGGCTCAGGGAGCGTCAGCAGGAGGCCTGCGTGGCCGCCACCCATCCATAGGCTGCCCCATTCTGTCCCTGGGCCAGACCCCCCCTCCCAGGCCCAGCCTGGACCCAGGGAGAGCCAATGGCAGACCTTCACAGCCGCCCTGAGCCTGCCCCCATGCAACACCAGGTAAGTCTTCTAGTGTATTCATAAATGATCTGGAGAAAGGGATAAACTGTGAGGTAGCAAAATTTGCAGATGATACTAAACTGTACAAGATAATTAAGTCCAAACAGACTGTGAAGAGCTTAGAAAGGATCTCACAAAACTAGGTGACTGGGGAACAAAATGACGATGAATTTTAATGTTGATAAATGCAAAGTAATGCATATTGGAAACTATAATCTCAACTAGTAATGTTAAAATATGTTTACTTACGTAAATAAGTAACCGCAGTTACATGCAGGGTGGCAGCTGGGTGAGTGCAGGGAGCCGACTTTTAAGCCCTGCCCTCTCCTGTGCTGCTGCCTCTGATACAGATGCAGCAGCACAAGGAAGTAGGCAGCTCCCCAGGTGCTAATGTATGCAGGGAGCCAGCTTTTAAGTAGTCTCCCCACACATACTGGAAGCCCTGCATGTAACCATGAACGTTGACTGATGAGCCCAGACTCAGCCGTTAACCATGTACATGGTTACACTTTCACATCCCTAGACCCAATTATACATATAATATGATGGGGACTAAATTAGCTGTTAGCACTCAAGAAAGAGATCTTGGAGTCATTGTGGGTAATTCTCTG